GCCGCCGCCGCCGGTGCCCGTCCTGTCGGCGGAGGAGCTTCTGGGCGGCGATTCCTGCGAGAAGCCGAGCCTGAACAGCAACGTCCTCACGGGAGAGCCTCCCGTGAATCCCGATGCACCGCAGGTGTGTTATGGTGCGCGCTTGTTGTGTTATTGAGGCTTTCCTATGACCGTCCTTGCCCCCCCTCGTTTTCTCGGACCCTTGTCCATGAGAAATCCTCATTAGCGTCCCCATTTAGCCGCGGAAAATTCTGCTCTTTCCTTGGTATTGGCTTCCATTTCAGCCGAGGTGTTTTGACTATAACTCTCTTTTTAACTTGAAGAAGTGTTCCCCTGTTTTCTGGGGTTATATTGTTGTGGGAGGCACGGCCCTGTGTCCATGAATTAAGCAAATTAATTAAGAAACTGAATTAAGGAAGTTCTGTTCCCCTTCCATGGAAAGCAGGAGGCTAGCTGTAGCACCTGCTTCTTCCTTGGTAACAGAGTAAAATTCAGTGAAAGGCGTTTTGTCTTCAAAACTCATGCTCTTTAAATTAAAATTAATTTCCAGCACTGAACTTGGTTTCTTAATGTTTTGGAGACCCGCTGATTCTGCGTGATGGAATTGGAGAGAAAGAAAATCCACAGGCAAATGATGTTTTAGATATTTTCTTTCCTGATTTTATTCAGAAAGAGTGAATTTGAAACTTGTTTATAGCTTTACACAAATCCGTTTATGAATGGTTGGGCTTTTCCGTTTTGTTTGATGGGGTTTTTTTTGCCTATTGGACTCACAAAGGAAAGGTGTGCAGCGTGTTATGTTCTGCATCCTGAGTGAAATAAAATAATGTCCCACGATTTGGGGACGGGAGGATAATGCAATAGTGGGCCGGCTTCCTTTTTGCATCCTGGCTGCCAGTTCTCTGGTTTGCTCTTCATGATATTTATTTCATACAGAGGTGAAGGTAAAAAAAGGTTTGTTTCAGATGTTTTTGATTTTCCTTTCGTCTTTACCCTAAGAGTTTGAGATTTATGGAGATGTTGGGGCTTTTGAGAACAGTAGGTTTTTAAACTTCTGGCTTTTTACAAGGATAGACATCTGAGAGTATGAAGTATCAAGGAGGTCAGCCAAATGACAGTTCAGGCACTTGAATGAAACTCCTTTGTACATTTTTCATGGGTCTGCAGTTTCGAGTGCGTAATTGTACTTTTCTTCTACTGTCCTACAATTCTTTCCTTGGTAATGTTGTACCAATATGATTAAAAAAAATCTTTTTACTGATATACTTTATTAGTACACTTCAGTGCTCTAAAGGTTGATTCTTGATAAATTCCTTTTTTTCTTTTTTTTTTTCCTGGCTATACAATTACTTGATGCGGTGCAAGAGTGTAAGAAGTAAGGAAACACTAAATTTAACTGACAGCGATATTCAAACATTTGCATCTTGATTCCGTCAAGTTTTCCTTTGAGAATATTAGCTACATATTTATTTCTACCTGTAATAATCATATGACAATTAGCTCCCTGAGTTTAAGAACCATGCAATTGTTCTCGTCCCGCTTATGTTAATGAGCCTGATTGCTCAGGTTATCGGTGTGTATGAGCGCGTATCTAAAGTTTTCAATCTCAGACACCGTTGCTGAAGAGGTTTTTGAACAAACCTGGTAAGACTAATGGTAATCTAGAGCATGAAATGGGGAAAAATATGCTTTAATATACATAAATTGCCATTAGTAAGTTATTATTACCTCCTGCGATTGAAGCAACACCCCCACGGAATGACTTGACATTCCTCCCGATGGTGATCCCCTGAAGGACCAAAGCAGACATCGGCTGGAGAAAAGGCGGTGCAGGAGGTCACCGCTGCACGGGAAAATTGTCTCCGTGGCAAATGTCCATTCCCCGCGAGCTGCCCGTGGGCAGAGCGGGCAGAGCTCGGCGGCGCTCGGTGCCTGCAGT